AAACAAACAAACAACAACTACAAAAACAGGGAGAAAACTATATTGCTAAATAAAATCTCAGCATCAACACTGGAACAGAGAAAGGAATTAAAACACCTTAATTTAAAAAAATGGGTGGATGACAGGCTGGCACAGTGGCTCACACCTGTAATCCCAACACTTTGGGAGGCCAAAGTGGGAGGATCATTTGGGCTCAGTTCAAGACCACCCTGGGCAATGGAGTGAGATTCCATCTCATTTTTTAAAGAAAAAAAAAATAAAGGAATGGATGATAGTGTGTAAAAACCAAAAATTCACAAACTATTTAAAACCTGGCATGGCTGCCTGTTCAGAAACTATAGATTGATGGTGGGTGGTGGTGAACAGCGTTATAGTACGTGAATCTGCACTGTTCTAGCTGTTTCCCATGCCACTCATCCAAAGGAGAGCCTGACACTGATTAGCCATTGAGCCAGGCTAATGATGGCAGCAGATCCAGTGATGGTAACCTGCCTATCAGTAGATCCCTTCCACTGGGTTCACAATTATGATCTACACTCTAGACATCTGATAGATCTCATTGATTCTGGTGCCTTGACGCCTGATTATGCAGCCAATATCATTTGGAATGGTGAGTTTATGAGAAGTGGTCTGGGCAGATGCATCCAAACCTGCACTGAATCCCAGCGTTGCCATCCACTGTGGGAAAACTAGTTTGTTGCATTGTCAACTGGTACAGCTTGGTCAACTCTAGAAGTGGTCCCTCTAGGTCACAGTTGAGGCACATGGACGAAGTGGTGTGGAGAAAGCTCACACTGTCGCTGCCTGTGCTGTACCTGTCCTGATCACCCACAAAGATGACCGGAGAACTGGACAGCTTGGGCCAGTATGGGATGGCCATGCACTTGGGGGAGACTCCAACATGACCACACAGACCTGTCCAACACACTCAATGATGGACTGTGGAATGCCAGCGATAATGATGGCTCAGTCAGCAGTGCTGGGGAGCATATACCCTATCACCTGGACCTGAGCCCTGTACTCTCTCGTATTGCCTTGATCTTGCAACCACCTTTTCCAATGAGCCACGCTGACTACCAGGGATCGACAGCATCAGGGTGACCAGGGGGTCTACTGGCAGCTGTGCTATTGGTCACACAGCTACTGATATCCTCTTCCAATCTGGCTTTGAAGACACCACTAGTGGGTCCAGCCAAGGTGATAATTCTCTCAGAACAACTCCCTTCTGCGATGCTGATACATGGGCCACTCTCCTCATGCATCTTAACTGATTCTCCTTTCTTTCTGATGATACTGCCTTCCTTTCCATGCATAAGTAGCCAGGTGGTGAGAATGACATTTAATCCAACTTCAATCATACCAGTGTCCATATAAAGCAGGGCTATGGGGAGCTGGACTTGGAGTGGTCAAGTCCTTGGCCAGTGGGGATGAAAACCAAGAACTCTAGGCAGGAGGTGACTGAGTGAAAAAAAGAGCAGGCAGGGGCGGGGCAGGGGTGGAACAATAGGGGTGGGCAGAAAGGCAAGGAGGAGGAGAAAAGGTGATGGAGGAGGAGAAAGAAGGGAGAGACCCCAGGGCAGGTGGGAGAGGGCGCAGGCTGTAGCTGCTCCAGCTGCTGCCTCTGCTGGTGTCAACCTCAGCTTCCCGTAACTTTTCGGCTTTCTAAATTTTTTTTTTTTTTAACTTTCTGACTCTTTTCTAGTAACTTAGTTTAAATCACAAATACACTGTACAGAAATACTTTTCTTTATATCCTTATTCCATAAGCTTTTCTCCAATCAAAAGTTTTGTTTTTTGGCCGGGCGCGGTGGCTCAAGCCTGTAATCCCGCACTTTGGGAGGCCGAGACGGGCGGATCACGAGGTCAGGAGATCGAGACCATCCTGGCGAACATGGTGAAACCCCGTCTCTACTAAAAAATACCAAAAAAAAAACCTAGCCCGGCGAGGTGGCGGGCGCCTGTAGTCCCAGCTACTTGGAAGGCTGAGGCAGGAGAATGGGGTAAACCCAGGAGGTGGAGCTTGCAGTGAGCTGAGATCTGGCCACTGCACCCCAGCCTGGGCAACAGAGAGAGACTCTGTCTCAAAAAATATATATATAGTTTTGTTTTTTGCTTTTTATTTTTGTTAAAAACTAAGACACAGCACACACATTAGCCTAGGCCTACACCGAGTCAGAATCATCAATATCACTGTCTTCCGCCTCCATATCTTGTCCCACTGGAAGATCTTCAGGGACAATAACACACAGGTAGCTGCCATCTCCTGTGATGATAATGCCTTCTTCTGGATACCTCCGGAAGGGCCTGCCTGAGCCTGTTTTATAGTTTGCTTTTTGTTATCAGTAGAAGGAATACATTCTAAAATAGCAAAAAATAGGATGTACATAAACCAGTGGCATAGTCATTTATTATAAGTATCACGTACTGTTCATAATTGTATGTGCTGGATCTTTACATAACTGGCAGCACAGTAGGCATGTTTTCACCAGCAACAGCGCAAACACAAATAACACATGAGCTCTGACCTTAGGATGGCTACCACAGACTAGGCGATAGGAATTTTTCAGTTCCATTACGATCTTATGGGACCCCTGTCTACATGCGGTCCGCCACTGATACGTCCTTATGTGGTGCGTGACTGTACACATCCTACTGGTTTTCTGTGGATTGCTCTAATACACTGGACATATAATGTCTTGTCTGTGTCATCTGTTACTTCTCCATTTCTGTCCTGCATCTTAAGACACCATCTCAAGTTAGTCCTCCACATAATGGCTTTGTATTACACACTATTTTATATATATGTAATATATATACAACTTAGATCACCTACTATTTGTTCTGTTATTTAATATTACATAATACTGATTTTAATTTTAAAGTTGAAGTTTTGCCTGTTAAAATCTTTTCCACGATATCTTTAAAATTTCCTTTCAGCTAGTTGCTGCTTCTCATACATCTCGTTATTTACTTTTGGAAAAAGCAGGGGTTCCTGACTTTTAAAAAACAGCTGTTTCCTACAGTCATGTTTTTCAACAGAATGCTCTTCTTCCGCATTTTTAATGCTGTTTCTATCCTTCCTATTGCTTGTTTTCTTCAGGTACTCTCCTTTGACTGGGAAACCTACCCAGGCCTGACGTCTGCTCAGGCTACACTCGAACTCCTGGGCTCAAACGATCCTCCTGCCCCAGCATCCCAGGTAGCTGGGACTACAGGCAAGCACCACGTACCTGGCTTCGTATCCGGCCCTAATGTGGCTCTGCTGCGCTGACGACCAACTCCTGCACCTGCTGCCTTCTTATCACAAGAAGAGGTTTACTGCTGAGAAGTCTGAAGCAATTATGATTCTTTCCTGACCAAAATTATAACTACAACGCCCAGAGTTATCTGCTTCCAGGCTTCTCCCAGGATTACTGCTGATGCAAAACTTGTCCCCCAACTACTTCCACTCAGCCATTTGACACTGCCGAGCTCCACGGCTCTCAAGTTAGCAAGAGGAAGTACAAGAAGGAATGAAGAATGAGAGCTCCGGCTGCCCCCAAAGCAGCTCCCCGCTCCTTTCTTACCACATCACAGTCAGTGGCTTTGAGGTGGGGCACACGAAGGTGTGTCAACATGGAAATACCACCTTACGGTTCTTCAAAAGCATTCTTATATCATTACTCTCACAATTCAGCAAAGCAAGCAAAGAATTTCCTTCATTAAGTAGATGAAAACCTGGACCCCAAGGGAAGTAGGTAACCACCAGGGAGTACTGTCACCAGTATTATCTGTAGTTTACAGCTGAGAAAGTTGTTGCTCAGGAAGCTTCAAGGCATCTGCCCAAAGTCCCCTGGCCTGTAAGGGGTGGCCTGGGATTGAACATAGTCTGCTTTTCCAAGGTTACTCTTCCTTACTTACCACACTGACCCTCAGCACAAGAAGAGGATCTAGCTCCAGCTAGGACCAGATTCCATGTCATATGATGTTACCTCACGGCTCTGCAGACACAGTTCTGAATGAATGCAAACTTTTTTGCAACAAGGGAAATGCCCAGATTTCTGCCTTCAGGATATATTCATAAACACACCATGCACAAGCCTTCCAAAACTTGATTATGTTAAGGAAACCAAGTTTACTCAAGAAGGAGTCAGAACACAGTATCTCCTTACCCTACTTCTAATCATTACCAAAAACAGTAAATGAACTGGAACTAGAAAATATAAATGGGTAAGTACTCTAAATCTGCAGGATGTAAATGATTCAATAACTAAAAAGATGAAAAAGAAAGTAGAAGAGATAAGAAGCGTTTAACTCCACCATTTTAAAATTTAATTTCATGAATGCAGTTCAGTTTGTGGTCCTGTGAAGTCGTGTGGCTACTCCGGGTTCATGATTCCATTCACACTCCTAATGGTAACACATGACTGTAAGAGAACTGCTGATACGCACAGAGCCAGCCTTGAAAGAGAGTCCTAGGAAAGTCTGGGTGAAGAGGCTATCTGTCAGATATTACTAAAAAGTGAGGAATACACATTTCTGTTTCATTTTTAGTAAATACATAATTTTGTTACCTTGTCATCAATTTTTATCCACAAGACAAAAAAACTGCAGGACTCCTAAAATATCCAGAAACTTTCCACATATTAAGAATTACCAACAGGTCAGTGAATAGTTACACCTAATTAACTACACTTTGCCACATGAATACAATTTGCTGATCTCTATAGCTTTGAAAAATTTAACTAAAGTTGAGCACAGTGGCTCACACCTGTAATCCCAGCACTTTGGGAGGCCAAGGCAGGGGAAATGCTTGAGCCCAGGAGGTCAAGGATTCAGTGAACCATGATAGCACACTGCACTTCAGCCTCAATAAATAAATAAATAAATAAATAAGATAAAAATTTAACTATAGTACCTCAAAATATTCAAATACAACAATACTCCCACCTAGTGGATAAAAGGAAAATGCCTAGCTTATTTTGGTTGTGAATATCATAAATAAGGAATTAAAACTACAATTAATTTTTTACAATTTTATTCCGTTTCATCGTTCTCAAAATATATCCCCCAAAAGTAATCTACAAAAGAGTGCACGCTGCTCCCCTTAAAGGAATGGACAAGTAATATACATTACAAAACAATGTTTAAGATCATGTATAAATGTTACTCTGAATCTCATTTGTTGTCATCAATTTCTTTAGTATCTCAGTGCTTTGGGGAATATTCTGAAAGGAGAGAAAACAATGAATACAGTGAGACCCCAGGGATTCAGGCAGAGGTAACACCCCTCCCCAAACCCCACAATCTCCACACTCGAGACTTAAAGACAACAGCCATGGGACAGGCGCGGCCTTTACTCTCCCCTTCTCAACAAAAAAGCAAGTGGGAAAGTCAGTTCAACAGGCCCTTTCCCAGCCACACTCGCCGATGATTTCCTGGCCTCTGATGCTCTCCCGGCCTCCAGAGGAAGTCCACGCTCCAACCCACCCGACCTTCCCCGCAAGATGTCTTCCTCCCCTCTCCACCAACACCATGCTCCTCATGGCTCTCCTCACACTTCCCCACTCTGCTCACACTGCTTCCCTCTGCACACTTCTACCCCCTAAGATTCACCCATCTTTCAAATCAACTAAACTGCCACACAGCAAGAATTCAAAATAATTCCACCTTATTGAAAATACCACTTTTAAATGGTCAGAAACAATGAACCGACTCAGGCTGATGTATTTGGTCATTAAGAAAACAGCCCCCTGCAGAACCACCATCTTACCCTCCGCTAATCATTATCTTCAAAGCAAAAATGAATATGCTGAGTTAAATTTCCACTTGAAAGTATGGTCATAAAAGCTGAGTTTCTTTAAGCCCCAAATGACAGATGATTTCCAAGTTTCAGAACAAGTCCAAATGTTTACGCCACATCTGTGTACTACACACAGTCCTGCAGCAGTAAACAAAACGGCCCAGCCCCTGCCCATGGGAACTCATCTCTAAGTTAAGTGAGATGAGGCAATCGGCTATTTAAACAAACAAGACAATCAGCATATACTTTGAAAGAGATGCTAAAAATAAACTAACTCCATGTGTCAGAAAGATTATCCCTGATTCTAGCAAATTTGAAAGATCAGCTTGCAGTATACTAAATTACAGTTTTACAGCTGTACTCTTCAACAAATGGTTACTGACGGATTTATTCAACATGCCAGGTATGTGGTAAACTTGGGATACCAAAATTAAACAACGTGGTCCATTACCACAAGGAGCTGACAATCTAGTAATGAACTAATTTATGAGACCTGGGAAATGAGCTACTTCCAACAACTTATCACAAAAGCCTTAACACTAACGGCCATTCCAGAATAAAACCAGGCTGAGGGACAATGTTGTGACAACCTCTTTCCTGTAAAGAAACGGTGCTTAAACCAGAGACTGTGGACTTCCAAAAAGTCTCTAAAGAGAAAGCAATGGAATCCCTCAACTACCTGAGATTACAGGCAAACATTTTTATGTACATGTTCCAATTTTAGAAAATGAGCCCAAAGGTATAAACCAAGGGTAAGGAAGAGGTTCATCATGTAATTCTCTCATCTTCACATATCCAGTTCTCTGTAAAATTGGGTAAATATTATAGTAATTTGATCCATACTATACTCAAAAATAACGTTCTCAAAAATTAAATTAAAAAAATTTTTTAAACCTTCCAAAGTAGTTCTAGAAACTTCTTGAACAGGAAAACCATCTGTCCACATAGACATTTGGGATTTAATTGCATTGCATTAATCTGTCACACAACAACAAAGCATTTGTCAAGTTACAGACATATACAGAAGAGACGATGACAAATTCAAACTGCCAGACTAGGAAGCTTCACTTTGAGACGAATGGGTCTCCAAGCATTGCTTAGGTTTAAAATGACACCATACATTTATGTTACTAAGCTCATTATAACAACTCAGCTATTAATTTAAATGAGTTAAAACCTTACCTTAACCAAACCCTTCAAGTTTCTGGTAGAAAGTATAGGCTTAAAAGCTTCCACTGTAATTAGGTCTAATTTCATCACATCAGTATAACACAAGTACAGAATTGCTGGGATTTTCCATACTTGACAGTAACTCAGAACTGAATATACAAGAAAAAAAAAATAAACACGTAAGTCTTCTATTATGTTACTTTTAAACACCTTTAAATAAAAAAGGCTGTTTTTAAAAGTAGTTATCTCAGCTGCCTCTTTCAATTAAGGTATTTACTGCAATTTTGAACCAATTATAATGTAGATTTTCTTTCAAAGTCAATTTATTTTCCTAATAATCTCTTCTTTTGCAAATATTAACTTTACATTTCCTGAACATACAGCTAAGATGATTTTAAGTAGCTGAAAAATTAAAATTCTACTGACCATAATGAAGTATACATAATAAATAAATACAAAACACACAAAGTAAAATATTTAGCCACTTCTCATTCTAGTAAACACTGAAAGCAAAAAAAAACCCAACCAAACCCATTTTAATACAGCTCATATAATAGCAATTATGTAATACATTACCCACTGAAAAGTAAATGGTAGTCTCTTTGTCATATGATGGCAGATGTGACAGTAATAAAAAAAATTAAAGCAACTATCAAGATTCAATATCCAAAACTTCTATTTTGGTAATTAAAACATACTTTATCAACTTTTCATGCACCAATAATTTATATTTAACACTGGCTTGCATTGTGAATAATCAAAGACCAAAAAGAAACACAGCATGTCTGAAGCCTAACAGTTAAGAAACCTGAGCTCCTCAAATAACTGTGTCTGGAAAATCTGAAAACTCAAACTAAATATACTGCACTTGTAACTACAGACATTGAGGACTAACAGCAATATATTGGTATCAATCATCATTAGTAAACTACCTCAAAAAGACCTCTAATGGTGAAAGTAATAAGTATCAATAAAGCAGTAAGATACAATGTAAATGTTACAAATTTTAATACCACCTGCTGCAGGAAGGTCGTGTACTATATTCGGTTGTTCTAGCAATGGACAACACGCAGGGTCTTTGAAATTCTGTGTTTTCAGGGCTTTCAGGAAAGGAGAAGGAAGGCTGCCAGTGGATTCTAAGGTTTTATAATCGGTAACGTGTCGACACGTGAGAATAGTTATCTGCATGTTCTTCCTTGGACAAGAGCCAAAAACCTAACATAAAATTGATTTCAAATTAAAAAAAAACACATAATTTTGTTACAGAATGGACACATTCCTCTAGGTATTCACCTAACACCACAGACAATAACAACATGCCTAGCAGCGGTGGGAGTGTGCCTTGGAGAAACAGAACACACCTGCGGTCTCAACCTGGGTTTCATCTTGGTTCTGCTTTCTAGGTGGGCAATTTTTTTCCAAGACACTTTCCTCATTAGTGAACTAAGGTGATATAGTTTAGACATCTGTCCCCTCCAAATCTCATGTTAAAATGTGATTCCCAGTTTTGGAGGCAGGGCCTGGTGGGAAGTGACTGGATATGGGGGTAGATCCCTCGTGAATGGCCTAGCACCATCCTGTTGGTGATACGTGACTGACTTCTCCCTTCTCACTCACTTCATACTAGAGTTGGTAGTTCAAAATAGGCTGGCTCCTCCTCTCTCTCATGCTCTCACCATGTGATCTGCCTGCTCCCCCTTCACCTTCCACCATGATTGGAGGCTCCTGAGGCCTCCGCTGAAGCCAAGCAGATGCCAGCACCATGCTTCCTGTACAGCCTGCAGAACTGTGAACCAGTTAAACCTCTTTTTTTAATAAATTACCCAGCCTCAGGTATTCTTTATAGCAACACAAGAACAGATGAACACGTCATGCCAGCACTGCCTACTTAAGGGGCCTGTGATGTGAGTAAATGAAGTCAGGGTGCCAGAATAGTGACTACAGGCCTGCTGTCCAGAGGAAAAAAGTCACAAGCACACACCTGACATTCATTCCCTCTCCCACCTACCACTGACACCTAAAAATAACTCTTACGAAATTCATTTTTGGAATTACCACACTTATAGGCAGGTTTCAATCACGGTGGTTCTAACTGTCCTCTTCTATAACAGGAAGAGTCTGGATTTGACAGATTTCTAAGAACCCTTTTACCTTTTAGTAAGATCTAAAGTGATGTAAACAAAGAAAGATGGGCGGGAGGAATCCAATTGTGTTTTATATTTCTGTGACCTACCGTCCTCAATGCTGAGGACCAACTGTGTTTTATACTTCCGTACCTCAGCATTGAGGATAGTAGGTCACAGAAATATAAAACACAATTGGTTGGTCATGTTAAATAAGCAAGTTCTTTTATTCTTTATATTCCAAAAGAAATTCCGACAATATTTTAAAGAAATAAATATCTGACTGCATAAGTTTAAGTTAAAAGACACCGAACCCATAAAAAATGAAAACTCCTGTAGACTAACCATTCACAGGTTTTCATATCTCTCTTACCTTTTCCAGCCACTGATACTGCTGATCTTCTGCAACGTAGCAACCACACTGACAGAGGAAAACCTGAAAAGTCAAGTTCCACGCTTTTTGTCAAGTAAGTTTTACACACACCCCAAACTATCACAATATATGTAACATGTGAATGACAACACTTAGGTAATACTTATTTTCCTGGCTCCACTATTGACCTACTCTCTTTAAAATTTAAGAGTCAAACCACTACTGGTGATTAGTATCAGAAAAAGTGCACACTGACAGAGCAACTGAAAGACTTGCCATACTAAAGTATACTACCAGTAAATACCATATAAGCGATACTTAAATAACTACTTTTCGAACACACAAGTCCCACCTACCGAGGGATTGGATTTGAGATGATAAAACCCACAAAAAGCCTCTGTGGAGGACAGATGTGTAGTGTCTGCTGTTCTACACCATTCATTCCAGAGTTTAGCACAACCAACTTCTTCCCAGACTCCTGAATTCATAACAAATGATGACAGAAATGCTGTAAAAAACAATTCACGTAAGTTAGTCTTTGGCTCTGCAAGTTGTACTTTCTATTCAATAAAAAGCAAGCTCAAGTCACTGTAGAATTTCAGAGCTGTAAGAGCCATTCAAGACCATCTACCTAATACCACCATTACACAGAAAAAGAAACTAAGGCTCCCAAGAAGTAAAAGGCCACACCCTGATTAAGACAATCCTAGAGCTAGGGATCAAGAAGGCAGGTTTGCTGACAGACTTTCTACCACATGCTCATGGGGTAATACTCTTCTGAAAATCTTTAGGCCAGCAGAACTTTATATAAATGAGTCCATAGTTACTTGCCATCATGCACTTACTATGTTCTACAAGCACTAGGGGTACCTTACAGAGGAAGGAATCTTAACTGGGTTTCCTGAATGTTGTCATCAGAACCTGTGAACACCCTAAAAATATTAAGGTGTATGTGTGTATTTGTACATGTATATTGTCCTAGCTACACTCTACACTGTTTTTACTTTAATCCACCAAGAGAACTAATACATGCAAGGACCTTAGAACTTAAGTACTTAAACATGTTGATAATTATTACTGTCTTTAGAGTTTTCATTGTGTTCTCAAAGGAGTCCATTAACTCACAAACATTTATATAAATCCGGATACGTCAAGACACTAGAAACAGCTCCTTGAGTTTTAAGTTCCTGAGGCTACAAATATTTTCTTTAAAGCTTTTCTCTGAGTTGGGGTCTTGCTTTGTCACCCAAGCTGGAGCATGATCAGTGGGAGGATCATGGCTCACTGCAGCCTCGAAATCCTGGGCTCAAGCAATCCCCCCATTTCAGGCTCCTCAATAGCCAGGACTACAGGCAAGCACCACCGTGTCTGGCTACATTTTTTCATTTTTTTTTGTAGAGACAGGGTCTCACTATGTTGCCCAGGCTGGTCTCAAATCCTGGCCTCAAGGGATCCTCCTGCCTTGGCCTCCCAAAGAGCTGGGGCTACAGATGTGAGCCACTGCACCCAGCCTAAATCTGACCTTTTCAGTTCATTAAAAAGATAATGCAGGCCAGGTGCTGTGGCTCACACCTGTAATCCCAGCTCTTTGGGAAGCTGAGAGCAGGAGGATCACTTGAGGACGGGAGTGCAAGACCAGCCTGGACAACACAGCAAGAAACCATCTCTACCAAAAAAAAAAAAGAAAAAAGATGCAACATGAACAGGAGAGATATTTTACTCAGAAATACACTCTGCTGTGGCTTTTTAAAGTACCAAACATTTTAAATCTTTTATGATGGAAGAATATAAGTAACTTTATATTTCATTCTTTCAACAAAATGACTAAGTCTTCCGCATTTTCACTTACCTACTGCATTATTTCCTATAGCAATTATAAACTTGGAGCACGGATATTTTTCTAGCAAAGAAACTTCCAAAGATGTTTTTGTCTGTCTTCGAAGGAGCCGCACCTCCCTAACACAAGAAACAAGATGAAACTAAAGCAACTTCAATACAAACAGTATCATATTATGGCAAAAGAGCACTATATGTATGTATTACAATAAATAAAATGCACGTTAGTTTTATAAAAAAATATAACTAATATCGTCAGAAAACGATGGACTCAGGCAACGATAGCCAACAGATAAAACTATTGCATACGTGTTTAGGGAGAACTCTAAAATAGCGGTCAGGCTGTCCACCTGACCCAAGGATCAATCTTAGATCCCTAAAAGTGAGACAACTTGGGGATAGCCTGCAACAAGAAACAGAAAGCACCACTTAGTAGAAGCATTCTTGCCGACAAAACATTGAATGTGAATCTGACCAAACCTACAAATGAACATTCATTTACAGGACATGCAGGTGAAACACACGTTAAGTGATACCACAAGGAAGCTATCAGACAAATTCAGAGTGTGGGGCACAGGACAGGTCAGCCAGTCCTGTCTCTTAGGAGGGTTAAGAGGAGGCTGCTCTAAATGAAGTGACACGTCTAAATGTAACCTGTAGACCTTGTTAGGATCCTCATTCACACAAACCACTGTAAAATACCATGTTTGAAAAAACTAGGTAAACGTGAGTGAGCATGGACTATGAAATCATACTGAAAAGTGAGCATTAGTGTTGTCAGGGGTGGTAATAGCGTATGTAAGGAAATCCCTAAAACGTTTGAGATGTATTCTGAAAAATGCAGAATTTGTGAAAGGTCATGATGACTGGAATTCGCTTAGAGTGGCGGGAGAGGAAAAAAACGTGGCAAAATCTTCCCGTTGAATTTACCTGGTTGTGTTAGGGGTCAGGGCTCCCTTGACTATTTTCTCCCACATTTTTATGTGTTTGGAAACAATTTTTTTAAAGAGTGTTCATCTGCTACTGAAATATTATGCTAATTGAAGTGTGGGGTGGAGGTTTAAAAAGTTTCGAGGGAATCGGTGCGTCCGTGAACAATCCACGACAAACGTGGTGGGACCCGCGGGAGCGCTGCGGCCCAAGATAATGGGACAAGAAGCGGAAAGACCACGAGTCCTCAAGACACCAAGCCTCCAGGAAGCCTTTAAAGAACAGATTTGAACCCAGCCCTCCCACAGCGGCTTCACCCTGGACTCCACGAAACGCCAGCGGATCCACCCGAGCACCGAACCCACCTGGGGCTGGCGCCGACGGACTCCGCGGCTTCACGGAGACCCAGGGCCCAAGCAGAGCCACGGAGCGGCGGCAACCGCGGGGGTCACTCGGAAGACCGCGGAGCCCCGGCCTTCGGTGCCGTCGCGGCTGCGAGGCCCGCGCACTTTCCAGCAGCAGAGAGCGCGCCTCCCTTATCCGGGTGCCTCACCTCTTCCGCGCTAGCTGTTGACGCACCTCCCTGTCCTCGGGCGTCTCCCTCCGCCCCTCCTCCTCCTCCTCCTCGTCCTCCGTCCCAGCTCGGCATGGCGCCTTCACCACCTCTCCAAAGAACGTGGCCGCCATAGCCGCCCCGGGACCGGCTAGACACAACTGCGACGCCGCGGGACGGCGCAGGCCAGCATGCGCGAGACCACGCTCCCTCACCGCGCAGGCAATAAGTCCCGCCCCGCACAGGCCACGCCCTCCGCGCACAGCCCGAGCTCGCGGCCACAACCCCACGGCGCGGGCGCTACGCCCCGCCCCGCACAGGCCACGCCCCCAGACACACCAAGAGCTTGCGGCCACGCCCTCTACAGCGCCCGCCCGCGCTGCCACGCCTTGGGGCAGGAGTACCTGCAGTTTTTGTTTTTAAATTACAGATTGTGGGGTTGGGGGGGGTCTCGCTGTGTTGCCCAGACTGGTCTCGAACTCCTGGGCTCAAGCGATACTCCTGCTTTGACCTCCCAAAGTGCGTGGATACAGGCGTGAGCCACCGCGTCCGGCCCCCAAATGCTTTCATTCGCTGCTTGAGCCCTGCGGGCATCGAGAGGTGGGAGGACTGCGGGCTAGAGGGGCGGAGGGGGGGGGGGTGCGAGAGGAGGGCGGAGGGGGGCGAGAGGAGGGCGGGGCCTCCGGTCGCAGCGGTAGCGAAACCAGGGGTGCAGGGGCGGTGCCGGCGCCGCTGGTAGTGGCGTCCGGTAGCTGTGAGGCCTTTCCCTTTTCGTCCGTTTCCCTTTTCCTTCTGCGATAGGAGAGACTGGGGGAACCTTAGGGCACCCGCTCCAAATTTCGACTGCCCAGGTAGGTGGCCGCGCGGTGGCACTGAGGGCCCCCGGAGCCAGGCGTGCCCTCAGATAGCGGGCACGGGCGGACGCAAGGGCAGCAAGAAATACAGCGCTTCGTGGTGGTATAAAAATGAGACTTTTACTCTGGCAATAGGTATTCACATTTCAAAAGCTGATGATTGTCAAGCCGATTTAAAAAACATTTTTATGAGAATGTAAAAAATAGTGTATTTTTTAAACTTGGCCATTTTCTAATACAAAATGTTTCTTTTTAAATAGCCTTTAATTAAGCAAAATGTGTGATTAATTGGTTCTCTTTCAAATGTGCTGGAAGACAAAGTTCGAGGAGCACTGTTTGAAGCAAAAGAAAAAGGGGACATAATTTAAATGAAAATGAAAATATGCAGTAATGCAATGAAAAATAAAAACTGTTTCCTAGATTTAGTTGTACCGAAATACATGACATCGCCTGCATGTTGTGACTTTGTCAGTCACAAAGGTAAGTACTACTTTGGGGTCAGAGAGAACCTGTTGAGATAAAATCTCAAAGCTGCTAGAAACATTTTAAGATGTGGAAAAATAATGATCAACAAAATCATTTACATAAAATTAGTGTTTAGCAGATCTACACATCTGCAAAAAAAAAAAAAAAAAAAAGTGTGAGTTTGGAAGCAAAATTTGAACATTTAGCAATAAAATTAAGACTAAATTGCTAGCCAGTAAGAGCTTAGGAAACTTTGGATATCCTTAGTGAGATGGAATAAACAAGATTACCAAAATGATGTTTTAAAACATTAGGACTCCTGGGTTAATTGGTCTATTATAATGATGGAACTGCAGAATAAAAAGGTTGTTTGGGCACCACTTGTCTTAGTCCTTTTGTTAATTTGTCATTTTTACCAGTAAAGATCTTCAATTTGATTTCACAGTTCCATTATGAAGAAATATTTTCTGCAAAGCAAATTACTGTAAATAGGGTAACAGTAATACATTTGGCCATGATTTAAATTCTGCACACATTTCAGAGAGAACAATTTTACAATGTTAAGTTTTAAGCAAATGCTTATTTCATGCAGTTACAATAAGTTAGGCCACTTTTTAAAAAGGCAAATATGTTCGAATTAAATACTTAGCCAAAAAAGGATTCCATTATGCAAGACTGATAATACAGTCTCAAATACTGACAGAAATTAACCCCACCACAGCAAATTATAAATTAAAAGCTTAAATTCTTTCGTTACACTGAAATTGCCAAAAAAAAAAAAAAAACCTTTGCATAAAATAGTCTTCACTGAGAGTTAAGTACTTCATTTTATAGTTATTTGTTGAGGACATAATAGACTCAAGAAATGTAAATTAAGTAAATTTTGAACTGGAAAGTTGTTTAAGCATTTCATTAGAACTCAAAAATCAAACCCCATGCACCTAAAAGTAATAGCAGTTTATTAGGAATTCTTCCCTTCTCACCTGTGCATCAACATACTGGGGATCAGTAGTTTAGATGAAAGTATACTACAAAAGGAGCAAAGGACACAGACTTAGTAGGTTAGAATATTCTGGCTTATGCTAAAAAACAAAAGCCTTTTTTTAAAACAGACATGCAACCACAAATTTCTCAAGTATTTTGGACACTTGGTTCATCTGTATAACAACAAAAAAAATGCATTTGACTTAAAAAAGAAATAGAAAACCCTAGGTTTCTGTAATTTAGTTTTTCAGATTTACACATGCAGATCATATACTTAGATATTTTTAAGTGGGAAAACTTACTTTCAACAACTTAATTTTTCCAATAACACGTTACTATGTTAAAAAGATGTGACAGTACATTCATTTAATCTGGCAATTTTAATTTCAACAAATACATATTAACAACAAATTAAATCCTATTGTAAATACACTTGTTATACCACGACCAGATTTTCTAATCCTAGCAGAGGCCACGATGAAATAGGCCAAACATGCTACCATTAAAGTTTGTTGGGATGAGACTGTAATAAGTACTCAAAGTATTCAAATTCTAATTTTTAAGGTGCTGTAGAGAAACATAAAAGATTTCACTGTATCTAAAAATATGACTGTTTTGATCTTAAGCTATATATTTTATTTTTATCTGATTAAACTAAGACCTGCCTCTTAATGAGGCACATTTTTGGCATTTCTGTAAATGCTGCTACATAAAAGTAAAAATAAGGAAAAGCCGTGATAGTAACATTCATAGCTTTCATATAAAAATATATATTCCCTGAATTAGTCATATCAAGTGGTCATTCAGTATGAACTGCAATATTATAAACAAAATGACATCAATGGACTTTCTCTAATTGCCTATTTCCAACACACTACTTCAGAACTCAATAATCAACATCTCCAGCTGACATTCCCAGGTCCTCCTAGTTTGTTTTTGACCTTTGGGGATGTGAATTATAGGGACTGGATCTAGGTAGTTTTTGCTTCACTCAGAAGTCAAATAGGCCCATTAGCACTTCCTTTGGAAAAGTGCCTGATTTTTTTTCCTCATGACACCATAGTTGTCGTGGTCTGAATTTTTACACTCTAATGGAGAACCCTTAAAATTAGCATCAGGTTGAGATTTTGAAATTTGTTCACTCCAAGTTCTTCCTAGCCTGTACACTTCCCACTATATTCTTCCTCTAAGGAATCATGTCTTCAAGGCCTTGCTTTCTGGGAAGGAATAGTAGTCTTATAGCAGGCCATTTGTCTTTTCTTTCCACCTCTCCACCTACAGACTCTGCAATCTATTTCCTCCTCAGAATTCCCTGGAGCACGTGTCTGTACAAGAGCTGACTGGAAGGAACCCACTGGATTATGGCTTTTAGAAAATTCCTCCGAAGATGCCAATAAGGGAGTAATTTTAGAGCTGGGAGCAGAATGTAACTGCTAGTTTACTTGTAGCCCAATTGTTTTCAGATAGCACTTCTACATTCTCATAGTCACTATTGTGTATTTTCTTTCCAGGATCTGAACCCCCTTAAAAAAAGCACTTTTCTATTAATATCTTCTAGCTCTTTTTCACTTTCAGAATTTATGGATGTATCATCCTCTTTATAAACATTCAGTAACTTTTTCTTAGCCGCAGCAGAAGCATTTCGATGGGGCAGTTTTCTGCTACTCTTCCTAATCCAGACATTTTCTGGTCCTGAGATCGTTTCTTTTAGATTACTCATTATCTTTATTTTATTTGCAGCAACAGTAGCACATCTGCGGGGAACTTTCTCAGGTACCATTTTTGCTTTCAGAGTTTCACTAGGCATCTGCACTGCATCCTTCTGATTATGCATACATGTTCTCACATTTGTATTGGGTTTTCTGTCTCTAGGAACAAATTCTGAAAAATGAGTGAAAGTTCATGTAAATGCAAAAATCTTGTAACACAAGATTTTACTACTGCTAACATTCCTCAACAACACTCATTCGGAAACAATAAATTTAAAAGTCATACTGCTAAATGATAAATTTTAAAATGTGATACTAAGGGCTCGGCATTGATAAAACCTTACATTTGCTTATCTACAACTCTAAGGATGTCACTTAAAACAGTAGCAGACTTGTAAGAATGGGGTGAAAAGTTCCTTCAGCATTGGCATCATAAAGCTGCTAATCCAAAAACATATATATGAGCATTTTACATAATTTGAATTACTAAATCTTAATTTCATTGTTCCAGTATTCTCTGACCTAGGTATGTGACACACACGAGATTCGGATTAAAATTCTAAAAAATAACACATATGTAGAGTTGCTTAAAGGAACTAAAAAGTGCAGAGTGCTATGAGAACACAGACTAGAAACCTAACCTAGCCTAAGGGATCAAGGAAGGCTTCCTTTAAGGAAGCATTCAGACGAGAGCTGAAAATTGTGAAGGGATTTGCCAGACAAAAACACTTCGGAGAGTTAAGTCCTTCATGCAGACAAAGGCAGTTTTTAGAGGGGGCTTGAAATCCCACTGGAGCTGTGCACAGCCACATGATGCCAGACCTAATGCTCCGTGCTGACCAAACTTAGGAGAGGTCAGATATGTTTATTGTTACCAGTGTCTCAAAGCCAAATTTTCAGATTTCACAAACAAGTCTAATTACTACTCTTCTAGAACAGAAGTGATACTCCTTTTATGTATCTGAAGTTCACTGGCCTTTGAATTTTAGGTTTTTCTTGCAGCCATGAACAGTCAAACTATCTAAAACTGCCTTCATGGTACACACCAGTCTTGATGGCAGTTTGTTTTGTAGGACCCTGCCTGAAGTTTCCAGACACTTAGCATTCAAACGGTAAGGCTGTAGATGACTGAAATAACCACAGTTGATATCCTACACCCACACTAGACTTCTGGAGGACTCCACCACATTCTTTTTACTACTAAGTACTAGAAATTGAGAGCTCTTTTAGTCAGGTACTATCAAGTAATAACACTATTATTCTGTAGCAATGAAACTACCAATGCCAACCTTCTGAACTTCTATGAAGATGTTTGCCCTTCTGTCACTAAACTGACTAAAGGGCAGATGAGTACAGGTAAAAACTGCTTCTGTGGACTGACATGTTCATACAGCCAGATTCATGAGGCAGGCCTCTGCCCTCACAATGCAAGCACTTCAGATTTTTCCATAAGTCTATGAAACTGATTTCACACTTCTCTAAGGTAAGTGTTCTCCCCAGAATAGGTTAGGATATACTTTATTCAAAGCCAACCCCACCACATACACATCA